CCCGGCGGGCCGCGGGGAACCCTTTCTCCTCCATTCATGTGAACAAGTGCAAACCCCAAAATGGAAAATTTCAACATACCCTGAGTTAATGATTTGACGCTTTACAGAGTAATTGTCAAATATCCCCTCCATTTGGGGGTCAATAGGTTCTCCAGTGTGTTGGCTAAGTCCTACTACATTTCCCTTGTCGTGTTCTCCCTGGAAAGTATAAACAAGTTTTTCAAGACAATGATACAATTGAGTTATTTCCGTCGATACTTCAGGAAAATTAGGAATTTGAATGCCATAGAGAGTATACCGTGAGCGCAATAATCACATCTTGAGTGTCCAGGCCGGAGTTTTCAGCAAGGGTCTTTGGAACCACGAGTAGGGCATCAGCAAAAGCTTCCACACCCAGTTGAGCACGCTATGACATCAGAAAATCAATCAGAATATAGTATGGGAAAAGCTTCAAACTGGGGAACATATGGAGAAACACAAACAAATTAGCGTAAACAAATTAGTTAGAGGCTTACCCCTTGAACAGATTTCTTCACTTCATTAACAAGGTATTGTCTGGCTGCAACCTCAAAAGCCCCAGCACCCTGAAATATGTCCAAAAAAGGTACCTCACTTGGAGAAATAAATGCATCATTTATCTGAAGTGTTATGATCCACCTATGAGCAATGAAAACTACATTCAACGCTTTTATCTTAAATGTTCTACATTTGAGCAGCAGAAACATACACTATTCTCAGGTCTAGATTTTATGGGATATAAAGGAAAATGAATGAGTGAAATTTACTTTTCATTTATTCATCAAAATTAGATTCTCATGTAGCAGATAACACCTCAATGAGCTACACACTAAGTCACCATAAACCATACAGGAATTCAACGCATATAAAAGGGAACTCTCCCGTATTTTACAGTCACATTAGTGAGGCTCATAGCTAAACAAAACCTAGGCAAACAATGTCAGCAAATTTAAGATATAGACTACTTTGTGAGCCTAGATTACTTATATAAAGTAGCAAGATTCAATATAAAATTGCACAAGCCTCAAGGGCAATTCCATACCAGTACAACAGCTTCATCTTCAATGGTATTTTTGACTGCCCTTAGTCCATCACGAACTGCATCCTTAATCTGAGCAATTGTATGATCATTAGGTCCTACGAAAACAGCAAGCTGCGTTAGATCATTGAATGGCACCGATAGCTGTAATAGCAACAATAAGTTTAAAAAGACCCCATTGAAATCTGCCTAATGTTCTGCCTCAAAGTGGCATGTGCAAAAAAATGCCCCATGACGCTGATTGTGAGGTAGTTTTGGTGCATACACCTCGGTTATGAGAGATATGCCTCAAAGCAAAGTTAGTGGACCACAAAACATAGAAATTCTTATGACCCAGTTTGAGAATAAAAAATCAACCACTAAAACATTCAAAAAAATCTTATATACCCACTTTGAGAATAATTCACCGCCCCACGAACTAAAACAATAGTTTCTTTATAGATTTTTTCTTTTATTTACTAACTTTAAATTGTTCAATTATGAATTGTGAAGATTGTTTATGATGCACTGACAGTACTGTTATCGGATTATTTCTATAATTTTTTGAGATTTTTTGGTTTAACGTGACGAATGCACCTCGCCTTCTTTTAAGGAAATTAACTCCAATACCCGATTACACCTTTCTAAACATTGACAATAACAATCAACCCAAGTATTCCAGACAACAATTGAAGTTGCCTCATTACCTCAACCAAGACATGAACTCAAGGAGAAAAGCAACTAGAAGTACCTTTGATAAGGATTGTACAAGAGTGTGGATTTTTCACATTTTCCACAAATGTATATTTTTCTTCTCCGAGGACATGTTCATAGACCAATCCAGCCCAACCAAGGCAGTCAGGGTTTAGGTCATCAACCGAATTTACAGCCTCTCCACCACAAGCCAACACCAATCTTTCCATATTTCTCCTCTTTGCTCTCCGCAAGGCAATGATCTAAAATAAATTCAATTATAAAATGTAAATCAAAACTAGAGAACAGAATATAATCAGTTTTTTCGAAGGCCTAAAAAAAAAAAGGAAAAAAATACTTTAGATTTGAAGCTGTAGCCTCATCAAACATTTCACATCACAATCAAAATCAGTGAAAAGATAATGCTCAAAGGCTTCTTTGATTTGAAATAACATGGTCAGAAATATTATTACTTCTAGAAAAATTTATTTCAAAAGCCCAACCAAATCTCCATTCGAGGGTGATACATATTATCTTTTGGGGTGGAAACAAGTCTCTGAGCTATTAACTGACATATCGGTTTCCCTATAATTGCTTAACAATTGAATATCAAAATACAAGAATTATGACTCAAGGTCATAAAACAAGCAGCTTTTAAAACTCAGAATATAATATTTTAAGTACAAGGATCATAATTAGCACAAAGTTCGGAGGATCTATGTGATGGAAAAGAATCCAAACAGGAAAGGAGAGCCCAATGCAGAATTCTAAGAGTACAGATGTCTTACTCCTTCCCGAGCAAGAAAGTCAAGTGATGGAGGATCAATTCCTTTTTGATTGATAACGACAAAGTTGTTGTCATTACTGGTGCAGACCTGAAGATAACGACAAGTATGAGCCATGACCAGAGACATCATTCAATAAGAACTCACAGTTATCAAGAATGTTCAATTCTGATGTTGTATTCGATAACCTTGTTCTTGAGATCGATAATTTTCTGCACTCTTTCATCAACAGAACGTCTTTCAGCTGCAACCATTGCTTCTCTCTGCTCTGCATTTGTGTAAAAAAACCCTGCATTTATTTCACTGAAAAAAAATAATAATGTCAAATCTTCTACCCATGATACTGAACTGAGACAGACACCATCTGGTACATGTACAACTAATCACCTTTTCTCGTATTCCAGTGATACATTACAAGTCAAGATGTAGCAATTCTCTGCTCGGCGTTTCATATCTGGATGCCTTGAACCATGGTCAAGAACAAGACCCTCAACCTAGAAACAAGTGACAGACAAAGAGCATTTGAAACGGCAGTCCACAGATTAAAAGACACATGCAAGTGTCCATCACAAGTGCACCCGCACCTATGATAGGCAATAAAGAGTGTCACCACATGCATGTTGAACAGCGGGTCATGTGCACAAATAAATTTGCTTCTGCTATATGATGGATGAGAAATAAAATTTAAAAAATATATATATAATAATAATAAATAAATAAAACTCTTGGAAGTCCCAACTCCCAAGGACAGATCACGAGAGGAATCAAGAATTTCAAGACTCGGCCCCTGTTTGGACCCAATTCTAGAAAACTCATTTTTATCCAAACTAATTTTCAACCACACATTCTATGAGCCTCACAACTTTCATCAGCCTTCATCAAAAATTACTCAAAAACTTATTTTTACCCAAACCAAACAAAATGAATTTATTTGACAACGTCGCTCTCCTAGATATCATCGTCAAAAGACAGTGTCAATGCTGAATCTATCACAGTCCTTACCCGCAAACATTGGGTAAATCCAAAAATCAAATATGAGAAAGCACTTTTAACCATGTTAAGAACTAGGCAAAGAATTAGCTC